TAATTACCTTCCCTCACAAGCTATATCTACACAACATCACAGACCCAAGAAACACATGGAAATGCCAACCTTTTTTTGCACAGAGTTGCGCACAGATTAGTTAAAACATCTCACTGTGTTAACTCTAACTCAGTTACCCTTTATTTTGTCACCTGCGTGTGACTTACGTACATACAATTGAACTACCTGCAACTTGATGAGAAGAGAAAGAAAATTAATCTCTCTTTTATCTCACGTTAAAAAAGAAGAATACTATAGTCCTTGGATGTGCAAAGGTACTCTTCCAACAAATGAATTTTAATGCTTTCTTAGTGATTAATTTCTGTAACTCATGCAGGATGCTGGAAACGCATTTGACAACTGAGGCTGAAAAAGACGAAGCTCAGGAAGAAGGCAGAGCAGAATAATTCTCTGCTCTTTAAAAAAAAAATCCGTATTCCCTCTAAATTCCTTTTTATTAATGCCATACTCTACACTGTGAGAAATGAAGTTCCCTGGATCCTATTCCTTACGCTGACCCCCCCACCACTACAGTACATAATTATGTTACAGGCAATAAACGTTTATTACGCACTGTGTTAATGTTTATATTAGACCCCACAAGCACATGCAATTTTGCTGATATGTTCTCGTTCCCTTTTGGATGACAAATTATGTTCCACTAACATTGGACTACAGAATGTTTACATGTGCAGGATACTAAGGGTAAGCCCTTTATATATGACTGCCTTAAATCCCAGTGCTTTTTTTTTTTTAAGGCATAAAGAATCACTTTGCCCAGATCTTGATTGGATCTTGAGGTCGAGAGGCAAGGAGCCCAAAATATTTTGCTAACATGGGTGCAAGTAGGACACCATTTCGAGGGGCAGCTGCCATGGAGAGAGAGATTTAGGGGACCTAAGAGGGACACTGGGATGTTTTGCTGTGGCTCCTTCATTCACATTGACTCTGGAAATTAGTTTGAGATACGTGGGTAAGTTTAAATGCCCCTTCATCACGTCCCCGTGCACAATCCCTCTATTTCTTAAATATGACACTTAGTAGGATTTGCCCTAATCCTGCACGAACACAGTGGACAAAAACGTTGGGTTTCGACCCCACAGAGTTAATGCCTCAACTCTGCAAAGTGCCCAGAATCCAGAAGCAGTACCGTCACCTTAGGATGCCTGAGAGGAGAGCATCAGATTCCAACCACCAGCATGAAGATAAGGTTTTCCCTCTTACCTGTCGTACATAAGATAGAAAGGGAAGCAAATAGTTGCAGAAAAGGCCGGGATTCCGAAGGCTCAAAGCAAAACAGGTTTTCAACTATCACTTGGTTTCCAATTAGGGTCCAGAGGTTACTGTGGCTTCTCACAATACTGAAACACGTTGCCACAAATGTTGCATACTCAGACTGCAGCAAACCCGGGTTAACTTCCAGTTGGGAAGGTCAGAGGAGCAAGATTGTGCAGCTTTCTGGGGCCCTCGGGGAGAATCCATTATCTCCCTTCCTCTCTACACCCCCACCCCCCCCACGCTTTTTCCAGATTCTAGAAGCTGGTAAGTTGCCTGACTCCTGGCCCGGCCCCATCCTCCTAGCTAGGACTATGTCTACTACATTGTTGCATTCTGGCTCTGCCTTTTTCTGCATCAGGATGGAGGGTCTTTTTTTTTTACCAAACGCTGGGCCCACCCAGGTTGGGAGAGATAGGCTCCCCTCATTGTAAGGTCAACTGGTGAGCCAATGCCTATACAATGCTCGTGTGCGACCTAAATTCCCCCTCTGGTGTGAAACGGGGCAGTTTTACAGGTGCCAGGGCTTCGCATGGAGATGCCTTAGGGTAGTTGTTTTTCTGCCCACAACTGTCTGTCTCCCCACATTAGGAATCCTGTGTCCGCTGCTGTCCCAACATCTAAACCATGCCTGGCACGTTGGAGGGGTTTCAGAACGATCTTTGGGAGTGAAGTCAAGTTGGGCATGGTCATTCCCCCTCACCCTCTGACTGATGCAGAAAGAATAAATCTAAAAGAACTGAAGTATCAGGGCGCTTGGGTGGCTCCGTTGGTTAAGAGTCTAACTCTTATTTTATGTTTATTTGTATTCATTTTGACAGAGACAGACTGTAAGCAGGGGAGAGGCACAGAGAGAGACAGAATCCCAAGCAGGCTCTGCGTCATCAGAGCAGAGCCCAATGCGGGGGCTCGAGCTCACGAACCGCGAGATCACGACCTGAGCCAAGATCGAGAGTCAGACGCTTAACTGAGTGCACCATTCAGGTGCCTATAAATGTCTGACTCTCGATCTCGGCTCAGGTCATGATCTCACAGTTCATGAGACCGAGCCCTCCGTTGGGCTCTGAACTGACAGCAAACCTGCTTGGGGTTCTCTCTCCCTTTTTCTCTCTCTCTCAAAAATAAACAAATAAACTTAAAAACATTGAAGTATCGAAGTGGAATATCCAACATTGCTGTCTTAGTCCGTTAAATAAATGCATTGATAGGAATTAAGACAGTCGATAAAGGGAGGTCCTTAGAGAAATCATCTCGATGCCATAATTTCACAATGTTATTAAGGACGGGGAGTTTACTCATTAAGTGAATAACCAACAATTACATTTCTTTTTTTATTTTTTTAATGCTTACTTATTTTTTGAGAGAGAGAGACAGATTTTGAACAAGAGAGAAGCAGAGAGAGAGGGAGACACAGACTCTGAAGCAGCTCCAGGCTCTGAGCTGTCAGCACAGAGCCCAATGCAGGACTTGAACTCACAAACCATGAGATGATGACCCAAGCCGAAGTCGGACGCTTAACCGACTGAGCCACCCAGGTGCCCCCCAACAATTACATTTCTAACGCTCCACCTTGATTCTCAAATCGACGCAAATATTCTAAAAAATAAAAGAAGAAAGAAACCTCAAAACTCCTGACCCAACGGGCTGTGATTTTTTGTTTGTTTGGACAAACATACAGGCAGGTTCACCATCGCTCAGCAGCGAAATGCCAGTATTTCTATGTCGTAGGAAACCACATCCTGCCTTTCCAGCCCCTGTTAGATTTCTGATTCTCTTGTCAAGATTGCGTGAGATACTGTTTGCAAAGAAAACTCTGGAAAACCTGAATAGGGAACTGAGTCACGTTGGGTTTATTCTTAAGTGTGGACTTACCCTGTTCCACGTTTTTATATTCTCAAATTCCCATTCAGTACCGACCGCCAACCAAATGGCCAAACTGTTTATGGTTCCGAGTGCACATCTCGGGTGCTGTAATCAGGGAGGCTATTGATTTTTCTCGGTGGGGGGGGGAGTCTCCTTCAGCCCAACCTCCCCCGGGAAGGGGACAGCTACGAAGTCACGGGCTCCTAGACACCAACGCCAGGGGGCGAATGCATTAGGACAGCAATTGTCATCTCGTATCTTGTTTCGTTCTCTCCGTCCTTGCCCGCCTCTGCTTCTTCTAATCTGTTACCTGCCTCACTCAAGACGAGAAAGACCACCACGCACCCAGGTCAGCGGCTCCAGGAGTGAGATGTGTCATCGGTGTGGGGTGTGGTCACGCTTCTCGACAAGCACCGCCCACCCGAGGCTCGAGACTCCTATCCTGAGGGAGCACCCTGTTTGCACCCCCTTCTCCGGGGTTTCTCTGGGATCTGGGCAACAGGCCAGCCTGGCCCGCTGTTTCACCACGTGCTCCTGAGGCTACCTCTCAGCGCAGGCAAGGACAGAGCACAGGGTGCCCGACGCAATTCTGGAGATCGTGGATCATTTCTTGCAGACCTTCAGCCAAATCTTAAGTGAAAATCCTTCTCCAGGGATTAAAGGGGAACAAACAGAAACAAAAAGAAATCTCTCGCCTAAAAGCTGCAAAGGACACGCTTTAGTTTCTACTGTTGATGATGTCCGTGGTTCCTGTAAATTACATCTTTTAATTCCAGTTAAGATTTACCTTCAGGGCTTTTCTCTCCCCTTGTCTAAAAATAGCACATGCAAATGGTCAATGAAAAATGTGTCCACGCTGCAGTATCACTTTAGTCTGATTAGCCTTTATACATTGTTTTTAATTTGAAATCTACACAGACAAGAAGATAACCAAATTTTACTACCATTGGATTAAATGAATAAATCAAACATCATTGGTTTTTACAGATTTTCACTGCTGTGTTACTGAAAAGACAAGGAACATTTTGTTCAGGCAAGCACATTAGTTCCTAATGTAGCTAGAATCATCTAAGGATACTCGTTAGCTATTTGACTGCTGTGAATATTAGCGGGAAACAAGCTGCAAATTTATGTTAGCAATAATGGCTCTAAACAATGAAATCCAACCACTTTATGAAATATCCCATGCTTCTATATTTAAAACAATCAGTGGCTTTCCTTTTAAGACAGAAAGACAGAAAGGAAAAAAGAAAGGAGTGAAAGAAGGAAGGAAGGAAGGAAGGAGGGAAGGAAGGAAGGAAGGAAGGAAGGAAGGAAGGAAGGAAGGAAGGAAGGAAGGAAGAAGAAAGAAAGAAAGAAAGAAAGAAAGAAAGAAAGAAAGAAAGAAAGAAAGAAAGAAAGAAAGAAGGAAGGAAGGAAGGAAGGAAGGAAGGAAGGAAGGAAGGAAGGAAGGAAGGAAGCATGCTAAAATCTTAAGGCACGAATGCAAAAGAACCACGCCTTATAATTTTCAGTTTGCAACTTAAACACGATAATGTTCTTAATTCTCTTGTTTTCTATAGATTCATCCCTTTCCAGATGATGTGGGTAGAATACGTGACCCTACATGCTCGCTCTGGTCCTCCGCTGCAGAGAAAACTGTAACCGTGCTAAAACGGCAATAGATGAAAATAATTAAGTCACTAAGGACTGTCCATCTCCTAGTGCTCGGTAAACACAAAGGCAACGAATCATAAATCAGAGTGCTGCATTCACAATACGAAAAAAGGGTAAATGGGTTATAGGAAAAAAAAGTCATGCACAGGACATTCGAAACCCAGTGGGTGAGCAGGTGTGGTTTTCTGTTTAAAGAAGGGACTTACCATCCTCTGTGGGCACGTAGATGTTCAAGTAAAGGCAGTCTTCGTTCTGATCCTGAACGTAGGTCATTAAAGTATCCAAATTAGCAGTGAACCAGACGGGCAGCATATCATGTAATAAAGACCTCTCATCGAGGTGCTGGGGGCACACAGCCGCGAACTGGGTGGCATTTCGAACTCCAGTCCATGAGGATGGGGGCTCTGGGGGCTGGAACCGCCTCTCTCCAGTAGGAGGAGAGGCATAGGGGACGCCCAAGTATTGTTCCACTGGACCCAAAATCTCATTGGGCAACGGTGTTCTTAGGCCCCGGATCTTGCCATAATTTGTGTTGACCACTGGGTACTGTGCTTGGCCGTCAATGAGCGTGAACTTAATGGCAAGAGCGGTTATCCACAGGAGAACATTGGAGTTCAACATGACGCAGACCGGGGTGAAGAACAACGGAAGCCATAACAGTCCCTTGGGCCTCGACATTGTTCACTTCCACATCCGTGGGCGTCCGTGCGGTACAACTCCGAGCAAATCAAGCTGAGAGGCGAGCCCGCACACAGAGAGGGTTTTCCAGGGAGCAAAGGAATCGGGAGGGGGCCTCTCGGATGGGTCATAGACTGAGCCGAAGGTTAAGAAGAAACTCAGCGGTTTTCTCGGCAGCCCATCGCGAGAGAGAGCAGCGCTCTCTTAATCCTGGCACTGGATCCCGGCAAGTTGAGGCTCCAAGGAGGCAGTGACCATCGGAGAGCCGAGGACAAGGATCCCTTAGGAAGACTCCAAAGCAGAGCAGTCCGCCTAATGGGGAAAAAACAGATGATGATAATGAAGCCAAAGGACGCCATGCATCCCTCAACATGACTCTATGAGATTTTTACTCGCTGATGCATCTGTTGACCAGCATCTCTAGGTAACAGGACCTTGAGAACATGAGTTGTCTCAATTCTTGCTGGGTGCTCATTACCGGGAACGACACTGGACATTCAGAAAACATCCAACATTTGATGCACATTCAGGTCTTTGTTGAGTTCCCCCAAGGTAATACATGTTGCTCGAATGACATCTCCCACTTTCACCATCAGCTACAAAGACCGGCCAATCAGTGGACAGGCACTCCCCAATCAATGTTTGTCAAGCATTCAAGGAAACTGTCACTATTACCTAAGATAATTGACGTGGAACCCATAAAGACTTTTCAGTACAAGAGAAGAAGTCTGTGACCGGATCAAACTGGCTTTATGACATGTGGATATTTAACATAAAAGGAGCACAACCCAACAGAAAGCGTGCATGCTCGGGGGCGCCTGCGTGGCTCAATCGCTTAAGCATCGGGTCTCAGCTCCGGTCATGATCTCACAGCTCATAGGATGGAGCCCCAAGTCAGGCTCCACGCTGACGGTGTGTAGCCTGCTTGGGATTCTCTCTGTCCCTGTCCCCTCCCACACTCACACTCTCACTCCCAAAAATAAGTAAGTAAACTTGAAAAGAACAAGAGTATAGGCTCTGGGCACTAATCTCTCTTGGGTCACTCAATGGTACCTATCTTTAGGCTTCACACATCATCACCCCAAATCTCTGCATTCTTGAAAGAACTGAGCAAGACCCTGGATCTCAAGTACCTTCTATAGAGCTGGTCTCAGCAGGAGATAATTCACAATTAAAAGTGTTGATATCCAAGCCATCCAGGGTAAACCTCTCACCCTGCAGCCCGTTTTAAAAGCTGATGGTACCTCTGAGTTACCCTCCCACCGACTATGTTCTCCCAGACTTGTCTTTATAGATCCAATGACTCTCACTAGATCAATCGTTCCTCTTACAGCACTAAGGAACGTTATGCATGAGCAGGAGAGTATTATAAATGATCCATTAGGGGTGGAAAATATTACATTAACCGGTGCAAGGAATCCTGTCTTTAAATAGAGCGTTCTTCACCTCAAAAAAAGACGAATGTGTTTATAAAGATGTTGTGGGCAATTCAGAGTATTTCTGAACTACACTATAAGCACCCATTTCATTTAAGTGGACAGCTGAGGATAACATGTCAATGATCTCTTTCTTTCTTTTTTTTTAAATTAAAACCTATCAGTGGGACACCTGGGTGGCTCAGTCGATGAGCATCCAGCTCTTGCGCTCGGCTCAGGTCATATCTCAGGGTCTAGAACTAAGCCCCACGTTGATCTCCATGCTGAGTGTGGAGCTTGCTTGGATTTTCTGTCTCTCTCTCTCTCTCGGGGTCTCTCTGCCCCCATCCCCCCCGTCAAAATTAATTAATGTAAAAAAGTTAAACCTATCAGAGCTGGGTGTGTCTTGGAAGTATACCAGCTCTGGGGGAAATTCCATTGTCTATCAGATCCTGGGCCAAGCTCACAGAGCTGAGTGAAAATGCAGGCTACGTCTGGGTTGTACATGGAAAGTGAAAAACAGCATCACACCAAACGGTGAAGGTATGTGTCTGCTTCTATCTGTGAGTTCTGCCGTAGACAGCGCTTGAGTTCTGTCGCACCGTGATCCCATTTCTGAATAATTAAGAGGCAGACAAGAACAAGAAAGAGGTGATGACATGCTTGGAATCTTCTGTTTTCCTGAAAGCCCTTCTGCTTTCTGAACCAGCATTAGCTGTTCCTTCCGGAGCCTTCCTGGCGATAAAAGGAGACGCCATTAATTTGTGATTCTGACAGGCCACCTCTGTGAGCTGAGGGAAGGGAGCCGAGCTGCCTGGAACACAGGTAAATGGTGTGTCATACCTTCTTCGTGGGGTGTGGTGAGCAGGACCAAGAGTATGTGCAAGCCGCGTGTGAATTAAGAGTATACGATGTGATCACCCCTATAGTTCACCTTGAGCCCAATGACCAAGCCTCTCCTCTGCCTAAACCTACCTCCCCACAGGGTCCTGAGGGCCAGAGAGAGATCATGGACCAAGAGGAAGGTGTTTGGGGACGTGTGAGCCCTTCATAGGTAATGTTCGTCCGGTCGGGACCGTCTTACTTATTTCCTCATACTGTGAAATTTGGGTAAGTGGCACAAAAGTCATGCGACCTGATGCCCATGGTCTCCCCACGTCTAATGCTGACATTCTGCACATGCACTGCTGTGCGGCGGGTGGTGTCCCAGGCCCGTAGTGGGTAGAGCCTCCTGCCTGGTCTCCACCTACCAAGTGGCAGTAACACCCCCACAACCAATATGAGCAATCACAGACCAGAGTGAGAACCACAGTGGGGGTCATCCAGCACGGAATTCTGGTGGCCGTGGAAATGACTTAGGTATCCAAAGGCACATTTAAAGACTATACTATGCACGTGTGCATGTGCACGTGCGTGTGCGTGTGTGTGTGTGAGAGAGAGAGAGAGACATTAAAATACCTGGCAACTTTAAAAGCTTTAGCATTACAACTAATACGGAATTTTAAATAAGTCTATTAAACACCCATCATCATCATGATTAAAAAATCCCTATAAATTTAACCAACCAACGTATTTGGGGACAAAAAAAATAAAAGACTTCCTACGTAAACTTCAGACACCGTTAAGTATTTCACAAGGGGTGGAATACTGTCATATATGCATAACATATATATACTCAACTTATCATACATTACATATACATATATATATATATATATCCTTTTATGTTACACATATTTTCCTCAAATAAAAAGGGCATACTATAAAGTTAATGAGCTGAGGGGCGCATGGGTGGCTCAGTCGGTTAAGCGTCCGACTTCAGCTCTGGTCATGATCTCACAGTTTGTGAGTTCGAGCCCAATGTCAGGCTCTGGGCTGACAGCTTAGAGCCTAGAGTCTGCTTCAAAATCTGTCTCTCTCTGCCCCTCACCATTTCGCACTCTGCCTCTCTCTCTTGCAAAAATAAATAAACGTTAAAAAATTTAAAGTAAATTATCTGAATAAGGAATTTTAATGAAAAAAAGTAAAAATGATATGTTCATTCAATAGCTGGAATTTGAGAGTTAAGACTGACTTTATAGCATGTTTTCTCTGCAACGGTTGCAGGAAGAGGAATATCTAATGTTGGCATTTTGACGTGATTTATAACTCGATCGGGTATTTTATAATGATTCTCTGCAGGCAGTTATTCTGTCTGAGATTGTAATTAAGACAAGGCTCATGCTACGCGGCCCTATCAGAATATAAATGGTTCAGAATAAAAGGCCCAAGACATTTCTCCGCAAGGTGCTCATCCCTCGAACGGAGATCAGTTTTGTGTTAAAATACGTATTTCGTGAAGCTCAGTCCTGACCACACTTATTTTGGTGTCTTGAACCAACAAAGAGTAAAATCACATCCCTCCCCTACCCCCACATTATGAGCATCAGGAAAAGCTGATCGTGCTCCTTGCCCAGTTAATGAGTTTGTACCATAAGCCTTCCATGGGATTTACTAAGAAATCCTATGACAGTCATTCCTCCAAATGTCTGCAACCTGGAGACATCCCCCAATTCCCTTTGGTTTCTAGGGAGGACCCCAACATTGTTTTTAAGTTTATTCATTTTGAGAGACAGAGTGAGTGAGTGTTTGTGTGTGTGTGTGTGTGTGAGAGAGAGAGAGAGAGAGAAAGAGAGAGAGAGTTGGGGAGGGGCAGAGAGAGGGAGAGAGAGAATCCCAAGTAGCCTCCATGCTGTCAGCACAGAGCCCAATGCGGGGCTTGAACTCACAAACCGTGAGATTGTGACCTGAGCTGAAGTCGGACGCTTAACCAACTGGGCCACCCAGGCACCCCTTGGACCCTAACATGTTATAGTGCCTGAGTGGGGTGCTGCTCATCTTTTATCCTAGAAGACAGAGCTTGGCCATGAGGTAGCCCGGACAACCTGATACCTACAGATCATTAAATGCTTGATTTTCTGTGTCTAATTAAACTATTACCAAATAGAATTTCCAAATCTAAATCAAACAACTTGCAAATATCTACAGGTACAACCTTCCCTTTGTGCACAGGTTTATTACAACACCCACACCCACAACCGTCAGTTCCTACCAAGTTTCACTCAATGCCAGCCATCAGCCAATTAGCATACTGTTGCATATATTTAATATTCTGGTCTTACTTCCTGGGGAAAGCAAGGTTACAATCTATTGTCTTTTGTCGAATGCTATAGCTCATTCATCGTCCATTCATCTATGCACTTTCAGTTGGGAAAATCAGATCCCACAAAAATCCACCGTGTTGAACCAGGAAGCTTAGATGTAGATAAAGGAATTGGAGAGTAACGAAGATGCCAACTGTATGATCTTGAAGGTGGTTTTGTGCCTACTGCGGGCTCGGAGCATCGGCCCCCATCACCCGCCCGCAAACTTCTGTTCTTCAATGGGTTACAAACACACCTGAGCCACAGTGGAAGGAACTGGAATTTCCAGCCAGAGGATCCACAGAACCCAGACTAACCGCAGGAGGAAGAGTTAATGGCTTCCATATGGTCCAGTCAAAATTGGCTGGATAGAAAGATACTCAACAGTATGTTGCCCAGAAGTCAGATCAGGATAAAGTATGGGTTTTGGTAGAGTCAACTCTATGCACAACAGGACGCTACC